TTTAGTAGCATATGTAGCGAAAAAACGAACAAAAAATCCTTGGAAAAAAAAGATCCAATATTAGGAATATATATTTCAAGTCATCTTATTATCACTGGGTTTTATTGTTAACTTTTAAGGAGTACAAGTTATATAAGATCAGTAATATATCTAACTTGTGCTTCTTGTATCTCATAAAGATCATGCGATTTAAATTGCTTATTTGTTATTTTTGGTAGTGACTAATGGAAGTAATAGGCGTAGATAGAAAAGCTTTTTATGGTTCAAATAACCCACACATAGAACTTTGATATAACAAAACATCTCATTTATATGAATTAGATGAACTTTTTATTTTTCATATAACAATTAAAACATACAAGGACAAGTAAAAAACATATGTAAGGAGGTTGTTACGATTGATGGGGCAAAGAGAAGAGGTCAACTGAGTAAGAAGTGAAAGCTAGAGATATATTGGACATAAAGAAGTGAAAGCTAGAGATATATTGGACATAAAGAAGTTGGTATTTCCAAAGACAATATTGTCTTCAGGGTCAGTTCCACTATGGTGCCCATAGTGGCACCGACAACCCCTGTTTTTTTCGGACGTAATATACAAATTTTCGAATTTTTCGTTTTTTCTACTATTGTGTCACTACGAAAAAAAAAATGTGTCACTGACAACACCTACTACGAAAATCCTACGTCCGCCCTTGATTGTCTCATGTAAAAACAAACAAAGCTTCATACTCATATTCATGAAAACAAGGTAAGCTAGTAAAAAACTTGCAAAATACAAAAATATTACACGTTACAACATTTGTTATAAAGAAAAACTTGTTTTATTTTTAGATATAAATAAAATTTTATTTTCTTTTATTTAAAATAAATTATATATCATTCTATATTTTATTCATACATTCTGCTCATACTCATAATATTTAGAATCAACTTTGTTACTTTTAACATTCTCTTACTTTTGATATGTATCTATCTAAATAAATATTTAATTTCTTGTTCTACTCCAAATATTATTATTTAACAACCCCTCCACCTCCTCTTCTGTAATCACGTGCATATTTTTTCTAATAAAAGGTATGAAAAGAAGTTATCTATCATCGATAACCCCTCTTATCCCATAATCTTATGACTTATGAGAAATATATACATGTATTGTTGTGAATAACATTTATTAACACCTAATTAAAAAATATTTTAAACCAAGACTTCAAAAGAGTCCTATTATTCACACTTCCTTATATTTTTTATATGTTTTGTTATATACTTTATATCTAATCCTCCTTATATAGTTACATCTCATGTCACATTATTATTTATAATTCACAAATAGAATATTATATTTATACAAATAAAAATATAAAATTAACTATATAAATATATTTAAAATCATCCTTCAAAATTGGATAAAAGAAATTTCCTTTCCAATATATAGGTGATGCATTATTCATTTAGTACAAAGGTTATGGAATATCTTGTCATATCCAAGTCATGAGTGATGTCAAGTATGAATTTTTTGTTGATGACTGTCTCTTTGGTCAATTCTATAAAGGTTACAATCTATCATTTTCTTACCGATTACTATCTTCCTTTTTTCTAATCATATGCAATCAAAAGATATAAAACTTTTTATTTATAATTATTCATATATTAAAATTTTAAAAGTGGCCAATAATCCAAGATTTACATTAAATTCAAAATGCAGAAAACATTATACAGAATATACAGAAAAGTAATCCTATTTTGATATTTTTGCAATATAACAAATATGAATCAACATATTTCATTAAACCATCTACTTTTAATATCGTTTTCTATGTCAGACATTTGTGACAATCAAAAGCGGTTATACTATAAAAAGTTATAACTGTTGAACGATTCTAATAAAATAAAAAAATAAAATTGTTAATGATGCGACTCAAATCTCCGAGAGATCTTCTGGACAGCTGCTACAACAGGGATCTGAGAACACAGAGCAAAACCATTAGAACCGCCCCAGAGATTGTGCCCCGGGAGTAGGCTCGGACGATCAAGTTAGATTGGTTGCTAGAGATGAGATGGTTCTTCCTAGCCGGAGAGAACCATCTTGGTGTGATGGGGAGTGTATGGGCATGATGGAGGTTGATGCCTTAGGATTAGAGAGTGTGAGGAAAGTCTAAGGGGGAAGTCTCCTTTCATGGACGAGGTATTGTTCAATTTATAAGGGACAATAAGGTCAGGCCTTGGGCCAACCCAATTTAGGCCCAACTAGCAAGGAGTTGGGCAAGGCCATCCAACAGGCGTGCGACGAGTGCTAGGCAAGGATAGGAGGTGCGCACCAGGCGAGGCTGACATGCGAACGCAAGACAAGGCTCGCAGACAGACGCCAGGAAAGGCTGGAAGCCAAGCACCAGACAAGGCTAGTAGGAGAGTGTCAGGCAGGAATGACATGAGAGTGTCAGGCTAGGCTGGCGCGCCAGAGCTGTCTGGGTCATGCTAATGGACCTAACATCATCGATTAGAATGCTCAATATGAATAAAATATATTGCACTAAAGCTTTTAAACTTAAATAATTTTTACTATTATAACCACTATAACATGCCATAACATATCACAACGATTGACATAGAAAAAATTGTCAAATTTACATGGTTATAATGAAACATATTGATTATGATTAGTTAAAAGGTATATTGTCACAAAAGCCCTTAAGTTTGGCTGACATTAATTGTTTTACCCTATGTTGGATTTTAAGTTCATTGATGTCTAACATTTGAAAAACTTTTTTCATTTATGATTTTTATCAAGTCAAACCGGTCGCCTTTGCATTGGGAAGCTTGTGTGGCTTAAGATGGCAAATAAAAAGAAAATTAAATGAGGCCCCTAACTTGATTCTTTCTTTACACGCCCACAACCCCACCACCAGCATCCTCATCTCCTACTTGGTGATCAATACATTGACTTCCCATCCCCAATCAACTTCATCTAATATGCAGGTGATAAATCTCCAATCGAATCATTTAATCGGCGGAAACTTGAGAATCAATTGATCCAAAAAAGAGTAGCAGAGACTTGAAAATTAGACCTATGTAAAAGGAAAACAATTCCCCTGAAACATTTTAGGGTTTCTTTTTGATCCATAAGTGTTGGGGTATGAAGACTTGATCAAAATGGCTAGAGAGAGAATGCCTTCATGATAAGAGAATGTCAAAATGGTCAACGAGAAAATTCTTAAAATGCTCCCATTAATCAAGTGAATTCTCCCTTGGTACAAGAATGCTCCCTTGATCAAGAGAATGCTCTTTTGGTGGGAGAATGCTCCCCTTATCAATCGAATGCTCTCTTGGTGGGAAATGCTCCCTTGGTGAGAGAATGTTCCCCTTCATCAAGAAAATGATTTATTGGTGGGAGAATGCTCCCATTGGCGAAATAATGCTAAGTCCTTAACTAAGTGACCGATCACTTGGAGAATGTGCTCACCGTTTTGAGAATGCGCTCCTGACTTGGAGAATGTGCTCTTGGTTCTGGTAATGTGTTGTAGCTCCCTAAATGTGAGCCAACACAAAGAGAATACACTGTTAAACCTTGAGAATCTCTAGCAGCTCAAGATGCGCTCCATCTTGGTGAAATGCACTAATTGCTCCTAAATACGTTGGTATGGTCCTTTTGGGGAGTTGCCGAATGTGCCTAGGTGCATAGCGGGTATGAGATGCATATCCCTTAAGGTTGAAGATTCTAGAAGTAGTTGCATGGCATTTTGTGATTAGCTGATTCCATTTATGGCCTAATTCTGGATGGACCTAACCCATCAAAATTAGAGTATCCTTATGCTTTCTTATAAATTAGCACTCCCATCTCCACCAATAATTACGAAGGGTGACACTTCTTGTTCGAGATGTGTAAAGAAAAACGATCGATAAAAGGTTTGCAGGTCTTGATCGATACATGTAAAGAAAATGATGGCTAACAGGTTTATAGGTCTTGATCGAATGGGTAAAGAAAAATGATGGATAACATGTCTTGTGATGTCGGGCTCAGAAGAAAGAGGTGGTACTAGTTATGACTTGTGAGGGTGATAACGTTGGTGTTACCGGTTGTAAGGGTGATGGTAGCGTTATGATGTTGGGCTCACGAAGTCGATTTGAATAAGATCTAAACCCACAAATCGATTTAATTCCATTGATCCATAAAACCATAACAACCCATTACGATAATGAAAAAACTATGCACACCATTACTCTTTGTTGCTTTCCGAAAGAAATTGCAGGTTGTTTTCAGCTCAGTTTACATATTTGGGCTCACCACCATTGGTCTTTGTTTATCTGCTAAAGAAATCGAAGATGTCCTATCTACATATTCGTTTTCATATTTGGGCTCAATTTTTGTGTTTTTGTATATCGGTCCTAGAAGGGACGGTGGTGGCCAACGGTGGTGTAGGTGGACGATTGTGGTGGCTGAAGATGGTGACGAAATGTAGTGGTGTTTTATAGGTTACGAGTCTCATCAGAGAAGGTAGTGTTTCCAGCATGGTCCTTGGTTTACACCCTCTTCTCACAACTATCCTACATAGCTAAATGATTCCACGTAGGGTATATACATAGCAAGTGTGACTAGGGTATATACATGGCAAGTGTGACCATAGCAAGTGTGACTAGGGTATATACATGGCAAGTGTGACCGGTTGTAACGTGCACCACCTAATAAAAACAATAACTGATAAAAGCTTGTCAAATGTAAGGCCTTAATGGATATAAAATCCGACATAAGGGAAAACCATTAATTTCTACCAAATGTAAGGGCTTTTGTAACAATATCTTTTAGTTAAACTGCAAAAATAACAAAAATATAATGTTTTCTATAGTTTCCCAACAAGAAACACAATTGTGATTGCAATATAACAATTTCCAACTCTCATTGAACCAAAATATTTGATTCACACCATCTTCTCTTACAATTAAATCGATTTAACACAAAAATAATACAAAGGGAATCCAAGTTACTTCACTATACATGAAATTATACATTATTGAATTGTTCTTGTCAGCTTGCATTTGGAAATGAATATTGAATCTGTATAATTTAAGCTGCATAACTTCAAAAGATCTGCAGATTGTTGTTTTATCGAAGGATTACAACCACTTTGTATAACAAGAAGAAGCTTTGCTGCAAGTCCCACATCCACAGCAATCAATGAATACTCCTGAGGTGAAAGCTCGCAAACAGCCCACAAGATCGATAAAGCATATTTTGTACAGTTTTCCGAAACTCTCATCAAAATTCTTACCATATTGGGAATCGTGTTTGAACAATCACTCAAAGCGAGTTTACCTTCTTTTAGATTTGACACAGAATCCAAGATGAAAAGCGCTAATTCCAACGATTCAGAGTTTAATCCAGGTAATAATTCGATTAATTGAGGAACTGCACCGATTGTGATGATCATGAGTTGAATCTGTTTGTGTGATCGAGAGGATGAGCTTGAGCATATCGATTTGAGTAAGGAAAGCGCGGGTAGATTTCCAGATGAATGTCGTTTATCTCTTACGAGTCTCATCAATGCGACGAGTAAACTAGGGCTTGAAACGATTTCAACTTGAGGATTGAAATCGTCTTCGACGATTAGAAGTTTGAGTAATTGTGTACAGTTGATTCGTGTTTCTATGGAACCTTCGTTTAACATGTCCACCATTAATGAGATCCTCGCCGGCTGCGTTAGATTCGATTTTGAAGATGAATCGAGGTTTAGATGAACGAGAATGGAGATAACTTCGGAACCAATGGCGTGAGATGTGTAAGGACCTAATAGAGATGAAAGGAAACTCACTCCACCTTTTTCGACAACCGTTTTTCTGGCGATACCGTGGGCGGCGACAACTCGCCGGAGCTCTTTCAGCGATTGAATACGAGCTTGGCCTTTGGATTTTTTAAGAGTGTCGAGGATTTCTGATGTTAATCCTTGTACGTCTTCGGATCTCTTCTTTTTCTGGAAGTATTTTTGTGAAAACCAGCTGTGGATTAACCGGTGAAGGGTGTCGTTTGGGGTGACGGAATCGTCCCAGAGTTCTTGCATTGTCGTCGGGCAGGTGAAATGGCCGAGACTGAACCATTTCATGATGTTGGATCGCTCGTAGGTTTGGCCGGTGCAAAGGGTGACCGGATCTTCCATTGGTGAAAGTGAAATTGGACAAATGAACACCGATGGAATCTCCGGCGAATCTAACACTTCAATCATCTTCTTCAGATCCAATTTCTCAGAAAACCCACCACCGAAACCGACTCCTCCACCGCCGCCCAACACCCCATCTTTTACAGCACTATCTAGATCTAGAACCTGCCCCTCAGCCCCATTTATCATCGAAGAAAACGCAGGCATTTCCACAAAAACCTGGTGTGCAAAAACACAACAATACGAATTACGAAACGACCACAAATCACCTTCAAATGCACATTACATCGAAAAGGCTTCTTCTTTAAGGTGAGTTCTGTTCACTTGAACTGATTTTTCTTGCTTTCTACGATCAAAAGACTCACCAGAAACATAATTCACATCTCATTCAAAGCTTCAAAAAAGGTTGAATCATGAAACAGAAAACAAGACACTCATTGAAGAAAAAAACTAAACTACATAGATATCTATGTACGTACTTTCCCAAGTGGGGTTTATAATATAAAAGAATCAAAAAGGAAATTTTGCTAAAGAACAAAGGGACATAAATCAGACAGGACCTGAAACAATTAAGACTTCAAAGCTTTTGTTGATGAAAATTATGAGCGAAAAAGATAGAAAATTTATGATTTATTCAACATTCATTTAAAGAAAGAATAAATGAGATCAAAACCTCGACATCGAGCAATGATTTTGGGCTGTTGTTTTGTTTCACAGCAGTAAAAGCAACGCTGAAGATAATAAAAAAATGACGATAGAATTTTGTTTGATGTAATTATGTAAACGATGGAAAAGTGGGCCCGGTATTACCTCATCAGCCCAGTTCACACGTGCTGACTCTTTTTTATTTATTAACGTAGCATGAGACATGTAGTTGATTTAATGAGTATATAGAGTACACTAATTAAAACTTGGGATGAAATTAATAATTATTGGAAATCAATAATTCTTTTTGTAAGGAATAATTTTTCAAGAAAAATGGTTTAAGATGCAAATACAAGTTCTAAGAAAATATGATAAAACGAGAATCAAATAAGGAGACCGGAATGACATCACAACTTTCTTTATTTCGAACGTCCTTGATGGGTGCTCCAGTTTGTTAGTTTGAAAAACATTTTCAATCCTTAGAAGAATCGATGGATGTTTATATGGAAAAGGAAAGAGACATAATGGGAGCAACTTCTTGTTTATATGATATTTTTCTATATCACTAAATGTCATTTTATTTGTAGTGGTGTATGCTTACACTTTAGAAGACTATAAATGGAACCTCTGCGAAACCCTCAAAGGTGTGCAAATCTTGTCCTACAAGTAAAAAGACTTTTTTGAAGACCAAAAACCTTATGGGGGCTGGAGATCAACATTGTCACATTAAAGCATTATTTGAAGATCAAAAAGTGGATATCTTAGGAATCATTGATTTGCTTATTTACAATGTTTAGCAATTCCATTATGAATTATTTATTTTTATTTTTGTATGATTAGGTCTGAATTCATCCAAGGAAATTGGAATATTTACTTTTTGAACTAAGATAATGAAGGAGGAGTTGCATCCTTTTTTAATTGTCCATGATCTCTCGAAATCCTTACCTACCATGTACTTATTGCCCGTCAATGTGTTGCAATGTTTCTTTACAAAAAACAAATGTGAAATCATTTTCCATATGGTTGCACAGACTTCTTCAAAAGTAATAAGAGTCTCAAGGAGATCTCGATTCTCGGCAGACAATTTCTTGAACTTACTGCTAAGAAAACACATGTATGAATTTATTTGGTTCTTTGAATTTCTTTGAAATGTTTGACATGTTCTTTTTTTTACTGTCGCCGATAAGAGATCAACTTCCATTGATATTAATTTCATATATACGTTGAGACTGGAGGTTTTTGTTGATTATTCCATGAAAGTAACTTGAGTTCTCGTCACCTTCCAATGCGCATATGCACCTCGGTTTTTGTTTGAGGTCTAGTACATGTTTTCTTCAATTTCCATAAACTCCTTAAGCAATTCCTCCCTTGTCGCAATACTGTCACTAGAAAGAGTTAATTCTTCAGCTTCCAAATCGATTTTATTGATGTTGTTGATGATTTCCTCAACCTTTTTTGCATTCTTCGTTTTTTTTACCTTAAGCCATGCATTAGTTTTGTCTTTTGTCTTTTTTAATTTTTCTGAAACAACCAATAATGGGTTTAACGAGAAAAAGAAACCAAAAGACAAGTCACATGTCCACCCTCTTTAACAATAGCCTCAAGGGTCTCATCCATCACCCATGAAATGAAGAATTGAAAAAGAGAGGGCCTAGAGTTGGATTTAGGGGTGTTATTCGGTTTGGTTTTTCGGTTTTCGGTTAAAACAGTTCGGTTTTATCAGTTTTTGTACATTTTAAATCTAACCATAACCAAACCAAATAAGGTTCGGTTTAATCGGTTTCGATTTATTCGGTTATTGTTTATTCAGTTCGATTTAGCGGTTAAACCGAATAAAATTCAGCACGTAAAAATAAATATTAAACTAAAATAAAATAAAAACTTATTAGACTATTACCAAACAAAGAAACTATATTAATATATAAAATATTATATTCAAGTTGTAGATATAGGTTAATATAATTTTAATCGTATATAATTTTAATAACTAAAAAAGTCATGAAAATCTTAGTAACTAATCAATAAATTTATATCAAAAATGTTGAT